TGAAAATCTTGGCCCCAAACATGGGCAACAGAAACCAAACCAAACCAAAGAGGTTGGCCATACCCACCCCTCTTCAATGAGTGCTGGGATGTTCTCCAAAGCAGGGGCCCGAGTCATTCCAGCCATGCCAGTGGAAATGCTGCCCTTGATACTGCTGGGAGGCAGATGAAGCCTTTCAGATGCTAATGCTTCCCTTTTTTATTTATTAATTCTCTGCCATTGATGGGCTGTCTAAATCAAGGGGGTTTTCTCCATTTCCTGAATAGAGCAGACAGTCATTTTTGCTCTCATTTCTGCCAGCAGGATCTAGCTCTGTTGAACTTCACGGGGCTAGGCTGCCGTAGCAGAGCAAAAGCTGCTCTCATCTGGTTTAAGCTAATGGTCCTTCCCTTGTCTCTGACAAAAACTGCATCTATACCAAGAAAAAAAAATAAAATGATGGATTTTGGTCACCTTGGCCATATCATCAAGTCAGGCCTTACTGGTGCTGTCAGCAACCTGGTCAATGGTGTTTGGGAAGGCACCCAGATCTCACCAGAGGCTCACCTGTGAAGGGACCAAATACTGTGTCCCAGCACAGGGAGCCACAGAGTGAGCTCTGGTGGCAGCCAAAAACATGGGGCAGGGGAACAAGCCCAGGTGCAGGGCAGCAGCCACAAGAGCCTCAGGGAAAGGAGGACCAGAGGAGCACCAGAGGGAAGTTCTTCAGCATACACTCAGGTTTTGGTTTGTACTGGGGAGCTGAGAGCTAATGCTACACGCCAGATAAGGCTCTTGACCAATTTTGGTAGAAGGTGTCTGGACTCTGATAAGCAAAGTGACCTCTAGCTCAGGCGACGACTGTGCAATATGAGGATCCTGGGCAGCTGGCTGCTGACTGAGATGGGTAATGAGCATCACCTAACTCCAATAAATTAGTCCCCACGTTGACAAATAGATCACCTTGGTGTAAAAAGAAAAAGAGACGTTTGTATAAAAGGCGAATGATAAACCCTTGGCTGCTTGGAAGAGTTGATATGCTACAGGGCTACGATTACCACAACTGCACAGATTCTACAGAGTCATAACTGCGGGGAGAAACCAGGAGGTGCATCTTTACCAGAGAACAGCGTGGGGGCTACGATACAAAACCAAAACTTCCATCACACTAGGAGCTGTTGTTTCACCAATATCACCTTGGGGACTGGAAAGTAAGGAGCGAGGAAGGGCCCACAAATGCTTATGTATGTGTGTGCATGACTGTGCATGTGCGGTGGCAGTGGCGAGAGGGAGTCACTCCACATTGCATGGGACACGGGTTGGTGGGAACTCATGCACTGAGACTTTGGGTTAAAATGCTAGTTTGTTTTCCTAACATCCATGCATAATGATCCATTTCTGTACATAATAAAATATATTTATATATTTATATGCATAATGCTTTTATGCAAAGAAAAAAAACTTCATATATCGCTTTGGAGAATTATGTATACACTGTCCTATTCAGAACCTCTTCATACCGAGTTCCTATGTACCACTGGTGTTTTCCCCTCTTTGTATCCCTTTCCCCACCAAAATACTAATAAAAAGTAATCAAACTTTCCAGATTATAGAGAGGATCTATACAGCACCATACCTTTTATTCATTATTATTATTATTCATTTTACAAAAGAAAATCTTAGAAGCAAAATATATAAAACTGCCTTGTCTTTCAGTGTCATTTATCCTGTTACAATCTATGCTCACATGAAAAGCCATTTGTATGATACTGTCACCTTGTCATTCCTCCTTCTGCTTCTCTTGCCACAACAAATTATACGTAATAAGAAGGAAAAAATAATCAAGGATATGTCCAAAATAAACAAACAAAAGGATCATTGATGTAGTAACACACCCTTCAACGACCTGTGCCTCAACTCCTGGCACTGCCACTGCAAGTCCCCTGCCGATGCCCAGCCTCTAACCTTAGCTTTTCTGCAAAGTGGCATTACTTCCTTTAATTTTTGCTTTCCCAAACACATTTTAGAGGTGGCTATGTTCAATTTGTCTGGCAGCTCAGCTTGTAACTCCTTACCAGCCTGCTGCAGCAGTAGGGGCAACCTTGCTAACATAAGGCAGGAGAGGAGCCTGCTCCAGCAGGCTTTGCCTCCATGCACGTGCAGGCAATGGCACCCGCTGTTGGTCCGTCCTCACGAGCCTAGAGGCAAACTTGCCGGCTTCCCTTGTTTTGCAATCAACCCTGGTTTGACACTTATGGAAAACAGGGGTGTACCATCAAACTTAAGGGAAGAATAAGAAAGAAACAACCCAACAAACAAACAGACCACATACATCACCTCTCTCTGGAATTCAGCCAGGTGATGGGTATAACTAATGCTGTATATTCAGCAGCCCCTGACGTCTGAGCAATGTTGGGTTATGACGATTTCCTTGCATGTATGCAGTACTTCAGATTTCCCAGGGAGAGAAAGCAAAAATTATCAAAAATCTAAGGAAATCAAACTGGAGGTTGTCGAGAGGAGGGTGGGCAGACAGCAAAAACCTCCAAAAAGAAAAGCCAACTTAAAACATCCCATAAACCATTAATATATTGAAACACCACATACTCATTGACAAGTAACTACTGTAAAGGCTACACAGTGTGTTCTCAACAGGATGGTGCTGAACATTTGTCTCCACAGCAGGTGCTTGGCCATCCCAGAAAAGGAAGATTTTGCATACTTCAGAATTAGTACAATTCTCAAAAAAAAAAAAAAAGAGAAAAGAAAAAAAAAAGGAAAAAAAAAGAGGATCTTCACTCCAATAAGGGGCTATTAACAGTCTGCTTCATTAGGAAAATAACGCAGGGTTCACAAAGGTCATAAGCTGTAAACAGTATCACTGTCCACTTGCTGACAGCAGATTTGGCAAAGGGTTCTCTTTCTACATCTCGTGTCAGTTTGAGGGCCTGGAGAGGAAGAAGAAGAAAAAAGAAAAGACAAGTGAGACTGCTGCATGTAGGAACAAAAAAACAGAACAAAAAGTCAACCAGGCAAACCTCCAAACCCAACAACAGTTTACCCTGACAAGCAATTTTGATTTGTTTGCACCCAGAAGATTCAAACTTATAGTAAGAAACGATTTGCACTGTGACTCTGCCTGAAGATGCTTCTCCCTTGCCAAGGTTTGAGCGTGTTGCTTTGTTGGCTTAGCTGCTCCCAAGCATGAAAGGGAACCCTCTCTCCAGATCACCCTTTCACAGCATCTCCAAAAGACTGGACAAAACTTCTGCCAGCCTTTGACATCAACCACCATGCTTGAAGGACAGCGGAAGGAGGCTGCTCAAGAGAAGTAGCGAGGAGCTGCGGATTTCGGTTCAGACTTCGGAGTTCTCCATTTTCCTGCTCATACAGCACACCATCAACAAACAGGGTACACCCAGCTTTAAAAACAGGGTTAGGGTCCAGCTTGTTCTGTAGCCATGAAACTTTGAGGCAGAGGGAAAGACACCTTGGATGCAGCATGGAGATGACTAAAAAGTGACACGGTAAGATGGTAAAACACTGAAAACAAATGGACATTTCAATGGAGGGAGCCAAGAGAACAGGTTTTTAAAGGTACTCAGGGGCTTAAAGATGAAGGCAGGCACCAAGAAGGGTTTTAGAACATATGTACATTTAAACATTCCCACAAAATCCTTTCACTTCTTCAGAAACTCCTCGTGGTAGCCATCTGCATTGCTGGGCATGTAACTCTGGCTCTGAAATGGCTTCTGAAAGCCATTGGTGTGGGCTTAGTCCCCCATATCACCTACTACTCGTTGAGGATTTTCCCCCAAGATGTATGATTGGTGAGTTCTTTATGCAGTGCAAGAGCAAGTGGAGTTTTGCTGAAACCAAAAAGCCATTTGAGTTGATTATGGGAATGTCCTTTACTCTCACAAGATCCTGGTATCAGGCACCCTCATGAAAAATGGTGGATTTAGCAGAACTGCTGGATTAATCTGGACCAGCATCTCCTGCAAGGGAGATCACTTAAAGGCTGTCACAAGATGACACTGTATCACTAACCCCCTCCATTCGAAGGTGCCAGGCACGGATACTATGATAACATTTTATTAAAGAGACCTATTCTGATAACGCTAAATGATTGATGGAAATTTAATCATTTTGTCTCATGGTTATTAGAGCAACAGTATGACAGCTGCTCCCTGTGCCATTAGGGGAGAACTTCATTCAGCAGAGCTTAGGAAGCAGACAGATTGCATGTTTCACCCAAACAAAATTTGGCTTTAGCCTTAATTATGTGGAAGGGTTTGGGGTAGACTGTTCTGTGAATAAAGGGATTTCCGCCTGGATCAACATATTGATTTCTTCATTTTCAAAGGGCAAATTAACACTAGCCATTCGTTAATGTGACTGCCTGGCAACGGCTCCATTTGGTGTGTCCTGATGGCCATAACAAGGTCAGCAGAAGACACCCACTCAGACAGGCCTGGTAGCCCCCAGTAAAACCTGGTTAGCAGATTGTACGCAGCTCAAATGAGCGCATGCCCTTTCCTCTACTTCTCCTTAAAGCCTTTGCACCAGGGGAATGGGACTTCCCAAAGTGCAACCTCATCCGAATGAAGACAAGGCTCACTTCCCGCATGCCGAAGCCTCACAAGCTGTCTTGCTTTCATGCAGCCGCCAGTTTTGCTGAGCACAGGTTTAACTTCAGCACGTGTGAGGAGTCCTGCTGACTTTGAATGCAGTCATTAGTTTAAAGTAAATGAATATAGAAACTCCCAATGAAGTATCAGAGTAGTGTGCAATGTTTAAACTAAAAATGTACGTAAAATACACTATGAACCAAAGTGATAAGAGAAAAAGCTGGAGGATGGATGATGATGGGCACCATTTGTGGGAGTAGCACTGCCCCTTATTTTTTCCTGAGGACACCCATCCTGCAGACAGTGCAACGTTTAGGAGACAGGCACACAGCTAAGGTGAAATTTCCTCATAGCAGAACCAAACCCAGCTCCAAGTTCACAGCTCTTTTTACGTGGACTTTGCAAATGCTTTAAAAAATGAAAAGAAGTAGACCAAAGTCTTAACCTGCCTGCCTCCAAATTACCCCATTAAAGTCCACAATAGACCCACTCTCGCTTTTCAACTCTCTGCAAAAAGCCTGTTAACCCTGAGTTAGTGGCCTGCTGCTCATAGTGATGAAAACTACATCAGGCAGGGAAGCAGCCACTCCAGTTACATCTCCATTTATCTGTGGTCCTCAAGCAAAACTCCCCAGTGCTCCTCTCTCCCTGTCCCAAAGTATCTCCAGCTGCATCCCGAGCCAAGCTTGTCCTCTGGAGTGTCTCCCTGAATTTGCAGAGGTAGATGGGTAAGCCAGGACAACGCTGTCCTCTAAGGGCAACATGCTGGTCTCCAGGCAAAGTACTCCAGTCCCCACTTTATCCTTTTTCTTGGTCTGTACCATCGTGTCCTGTTTTGGGGCATAAGAGCAGCAGAGGTATGAGCACAGGGAGCAATGAAAAAAAACCACCAAACAACAGAACAGAGGGTAAGGAAGGATAAAAGAAGGGTGAAGTCTAGCAGGGCTAGTAGGTTAGAGCAGTGTTTGCCAACTTGCCACAGCAAAGGTGTAGAGCTCCCACCTACATGTGGCATGGTTTCTTATTTCTCAGGCTGCCCAAAAAAGGGCACTACTGGAAAATATCTGCCTGTACTTCTTAAGCCACACCCTGAAAATTCAATTCTCCCTTGAAAAGCTCCTCTGCCAAACCTGAAGACCACCTTCAATCATTAGAGAGTAGAAAGGAAGGAGGAATTACATACTTTCTTAGAGACTTCCTTTTCTTAAGACTTTCTTCTGAAGATAGTGAAGGCTAGTTAGAGGTGAAGATGAACTTCTGCTTTCTCATGTCCCACAGACGCTGGGGCTTCAGCTTGCAAGCAATTATGTGGGAGATAAAATGCCTCTTCTGCCCTTTTCTCTGCTTTCCCATCCTCTACTGTGCTTCTGACCAGTTACAAATGCTACTTTTGCTTTACTCTATGGCCAAGGTGTTGTGATTTCCCTCCAGCAGCAACATTTCCTCACCTCTGTCTCAAATCATTAGACCACTTAACTGGATAGCTGTCTCCCAAGCCTCATGCCAGCTCATGCACCATCAGACCAGCTCTGAAGGATCATCTTCCATGTGTTGCTTTCTCCTTTTGATTCCCAATGGTGCCAATTACGCAGCACTGGAAATTTCTTCAGAATAGAAAGGTGATGCATCGATGCTCCCCAGAGCAAAGCACAGATAATGTGTACTGCTGGCAACTTTAGTAGTAAGCTAACATAACAATCAGCACATACAGTTTTCTGTGCTCTTTTATGTAATTATGATATGAAAAACCACACAACTCCTCTCTACAGCAGCCTACCAAGGACCTCCTGATTTGGCTGGAAGGCTTCTTGATCAGTGGACTGCCTCTTGAAAAGTATCACCACTTGGAGGTCTGTAAAACAAGTGTTTTCCCCAGGTATCACTCTGCAGCAACTCCCCAGGCAGAGGCAATTCCAGGTAAGTGCTTTTATTGTCCAGAGACTTCGGATTTGGAAGGAAACTTGCGTTCTTCCGTGACAGGTGTGTATTCATCCTGTTGCCTCTGCCCCTTCAGTTGTCATTGCCACCAGCAGTACAACTTCTACTCAAAAAGGGGGGTAGGCTCAAAAAGCAAGACTTGATTATGTGGGGTTACAAGTTAATATTCTGCCTGAGGTTTCCCAGCTAAAGAAGAATACACAGTATTTATTTAGAAACAAGTAAGGAAGATAACTGCTGTGGCTAATCACCCTATACTGACAAATTCCAGCATGAGATTTTTTGTTCAAGCAGAATAAAAATTAGGAACCCTGATGCCATGGCAGGTGTGCCACAGTGACACCCTACAGGCTTAGTGTACGCTGCACTAGGACAGCTCTGTTCTGAGAGACAACACTGAGGTGACGGTGAGAAGCCCAAAGGGGAAAAAAGAGCTGGCAACTTAATGTGTTTTCATGAACTTTCAGGCATGTTGCAACTTCACTTTTTAAGTTCTACTTATAAAAATAGATCCTTTGAATCTCAGAATTGGGGGCAAAGAGTGAGGGAGAAGGACGGAAAGAGGAAGAACGCTGGCACAGAACTAAAAATTATGAGAGCTAAAAAGTTGCTGTGCTGGTACTTGTGCAGGCACATAAAGCACAAAAGTGTCTCTTTGCCTGCTGCTGTTCTTCCACTCCAAGTAGCACTGCAAACCACAGCAGACAATCAAGTATTTTGGCAGTAAATGTAACTGAAGACAGCAGATCATTCTCTCACCCTGTAGCAGCTCCCTCAGACAAAAGGCTTGCCCGGAACTGTAGTGAGGTGCCACAACTATTGATATGTGTGATATCCCACTTGTCTACAGAATCACAGAAAAGTCCAGGCTGGACGGGACTCGGCATCATCTGAAGGCAGAGCCTTATGTTAGGTTGTTCAGGGCTCTGTCAAGTCAAGTCTGGAACATTCCCAGCAAGGGAGCATCCACCACTCCTCTGGGCAGCTCATTTTACCGTCAATGGTGAGTAAGATTCCTCTTACCCATTGTACACATGAAAAGGAGACACCCAGGAAGTGGTCTATCCACGCTAACACACTTGAAAGGAAAAGTAGATTGGGGTTCTGTCATGTATCAGGACCAACCACGATACTAAACAACCAAATTCATAGGAAATTCTGCACTTCCTTGCAAGAGGAGCAGACACATGCAGACTCTACTATATATCACTTTGTTGTTGTCCATACAAGAAGACCATGTGCTGACAGACCTGTGTTTATACCTACAGACATGTCAGTGTGCAGTTATGCTGGCTTTCCAGCACAAGCACTGCTGATACCCAGTTCTGTCACGTCTGGCTGGGTTCAGTGCTCTGCCCTGGCCAATAGAGGCTAGATAC